GGAGGTTAACGTTTTATGCGGGGCTACCCTGAAAGTTGGGTCAATGTTGATAAATTTTTATAAAAGAGAATCAAAAATATAAAATCAGGGCAAATTCGGTTGAAAAACGTGCCCAACATCCTAAAAATACCAAATAATGAATGCTACCGTTATATGGGAGCTACCCTGAAACTTGGACCAATGTTTGAAATTTTTGATAGGGAAATTTTACAAGCAATAAGAATCCAAAAATATCAAATTGGAGCCAATTCAGATGAAATACGTACTTAAACTTTCCTAAAATCGAAATTTCGGAGAGATAACGTTCTATGGGGACTACACTAAAAAGTGGACCCAAATTTATAATTTTTTGTAGGGAGATTTTTAACGCAGTGAGATCCCACAATACCAAATTACAAATGATTATGTTGAAAATAAGTACCCGAATATTGAGGGGTGCGGTTGTATGGGGGCTACCCCAAAAAGTGGACCCATATATTCCTTTGGCAATACCAAACGTCCTAGAAGTAATATTATTGTCTGTGCAAAATTCCACAGATCTGTCTTAATTGTTGCGATCTTTATCGTGATTAAAACTTTTATTGGAGGATGTACGAAACCTTCCCGTTGCATTCTCGAAGGATGGCTTTCCAGAGGTTTTCAATAATCAAAACCCCTTTCCCAGATTTTCAAATGCCAGAAGGCCTCTAACAGATATTCTATTAATAAAAAGGGACCGCAAAACGGGATTTGAAACATGTCTAGATAAGAGCCCAGACGCTTATAGTTTGGGATTTTTTTACCAACAATATATTTTGTTTCTGGCATAAATTTTATTTCCGGAGATATGGAACTTATTCAATAAGATTTTTGTAATCAGGACTTCAGTATCTTGGAATTGATACCCATATTGTCTTAGGAAATTTTAAAACTAATCGAAAAATAAAATGCTTCCCGAGGAACACGGATTTCCACAAAAAAAAATCAAAAAGATCCGCAATCGGGTCTCAAATAGGACATAAGACAAGTATTTTATTTTAGATGACTTTTCATAGATATAGGAATTCTCACGGCCTAAAAAAGGTATTTTTTATTAATATATGATTTTCTTCTTAGACGTGAAGGAAAGAATTTCTATAGACGAGCTGAAGGGAGCCTTTATAGGCGAGCTGAAGGGAGTCTTTATAGGCGAGCTGATCGGAGTCTTTATATACGTCCCGAAGGCAGTCTTTATATGCGAGCTAAATGGAGCTTTTATAGGCGAGCTGAAGGGAGTTGAAGAGATTTTTTTTAATGACGACAAGGAGGAAGATATTATAGACTAGTTCGAGGAAGCCTTTATGGGCGAGCTGAAGGGAGTCTTTTTCAACTGCATAACTCTTTTTAAAAGCTGGTCTTGGCTTTAAATTAATACCCATATTGCCTTGGATAATTTTTTGAAAAGCGTGGGAAAGTAAAAGTGCTCTTGCGGAATTTTTGAGGCCCATATCACCGGAAATATATCAATTTTCGCAAGAAAAAACGTATATCGTTGTAATCAGGGGTCACCCTAGGACCACTCATGATACATATTTTAAAAGGTTCCGCTACCCAAAAAGACCGGGATTTTTATTTAAGATGACTATTTATGGCCGTAGGAGGAATATTCTCGACCTTCAAGTGGTTTCAATTATAAATGTATTATTTGCTACAATTTTAAATTTCTGCAAAATTGTCCAATTTAATATATTAGGTTATGTATATATTTTCCCTTTAAAAAATTTGTCTGAACATTTTCCAATTAGAACGCAATAACCATCATCATCCATGTGGTGTAGGAAAGGTGGCCGGTTGGTTGTCTGGTCATAAAGGACAAACAATATAAATAGCAACGGAAAATAAAAAAGGAAAAATAATAACAACAACAGTGGAAAAGCCGGGTGTGACACTAAGGATAACGAAAACAAAACACAAAATGATAGATGATAATGAATAATAAAAATACAAAATACCATGTTGGGGTAGTTAAAAATAGGGGAAGCAAATATATAGATAGAAAACGAAAACAACAACAATAATAAGAATACTAATGTTTGTTGCTATTTCTTGGAATTCAATCTGATGAAATAGCAATCGATTTTTCCCAATAAGGAAGTGAATGGGAAAAAGAAAACAGATGGGGAAAAGAATGATAAATAAAGAAGATAAAAAATTATTTTAAAAATATTAAAGATGATGAAAATGTTGGGTTATATTACATTTTTAATAAATTTTTTCATAAAAAATCTTACCTTTAAATTATTTTATAGTTGACTGAAAATTGTTGAACAATTTTCACTGGATTTTTTAGTTATTATAATTTTTTACAAGTGTTTCAAACGAACCATTTTCGCGAATTTATTTTATACAAATTTATTAAACAAAACACAATTTTCAACACAATGATATTTTTATTTTAATTAATTTAAAACACAAACACTATTTACTTTTTTAATTATTTTTTCATTTACAGACAACGAACCGCTTGTCGACTTTCATTGGCACCGTAGAAAATGACACTACTCATCGCAGACAAATGACGTTACGAAAAAAGGCAAAGAAAAACGGAGAAAATTTGCAATCTCAGAATAAATTCACGGCTGATTTCGACACTTTTTTATTCTTTGTTTTTATTGTTGTTGTTGCTTGATGGGTTGGATGATGGCTGGCAAAATAATGACAACAAAACGATGGAACTGACGACGACGGCTCCACACACGATGATGCAGACGGCAATCACGGTAATTTCTTTGTATAAATGACTCTGGTGGGGGGACTACCTAGATTACGTCTGGGTTAGCTATTGTGTTTACCTCCAAACACTAGACAACGATTACGTTCTTCTTCTTCCTCCTCGTTGCCTTCTTAGAGTTTATCTTATTTGTGTTGTCACTTTTATTCTAATTCTTCCTTTTCAACTGGAAGTTATTTTTGCTTCTTTTTTCTATTCTCAGCAATATCACGTTGTTGAAGGATAAACAGAGGGGGGAGGTTAGGGGGAATTTTGGTTTCAGGAATTGCGTAAAGATAAGATTTTTTTTCCACACGACACTTGTCACAATTTTTTTTCGATTTTAATTTCGCGTTTTATTTTAACACTTTTTATTAAACGGATTTATTGGTTAAATTTTTTTAGAATTTTTTCTATTTTCTTCGTGAAAAATAATCGTGTTTTCTCTTACTGACGAAAAATCTCCATCTGTCAAAGGAAAATATTTTCTTTTTAATGAATAGGAGAAGAAGAAGCAGAATTTCAATAGAGATGATAGTGTACTTATCTCTTGTTGCTGACTGTGTGGTGTTATCGTTATCGAGAGAGCGAGTAACGGGAGAGTGTAGTTAGTAGAACAAGTAGTCATGTGTGGTAGTTGTCAATGGTATATAAGGGGAGTTCACATGAGGTGATTTAATGAAAGAAACCATTAGTTAGTAAAATAAAATTAAAAATAAAGGAATTAAATGGGAAAAATTGATAAAATGGGAAATAAAAAAATACAATTAAGTAAAAAATATAGAAACAGCTTAATAAATGTTCATTTTAATTATTTTTGTTTTTAATTTTATATACGGGTTGAAGGGAGCGAGCAATCATAAAGTAGTCTTTATAGACGAACAGGAGAGAGTCTTTATAGGCGAGCTAGAAGGAGTCTTTATAAACGAAAAGAATAAGGTCTTTATAGATATGAAAAAGGGGGTATTTATAGACATACAGAAGGAAATCTTTATAGGCGATATGAAGGTAATATTTACAGACGAGTTAAAGTGAGCTTTAATAGACTAGCCGAAGGGAGTCTTTGTAGACAAGTAGAAGTCATTATAGACAGAAGAGAGTCTTTATAGACGAGGGAAGATTTATAGACTAGATAAGCAACATTGAAACCGAATTATATGGACTTTAAATATTTCAGGAAAATAAATAATTCAATTACCTATCTATTATTTAATGCTTTACATGCTCAAAGTATTGAAGAGGTTCCTCGGGTGGTTAGAAGAAATTATCTTTACTTCCGGCTATAATCTTCAACAAGAGTTCCTTTCCTAAAAAAATTTTTAAATCTTTTATAGACTTCAATGGGTTACTGAAGATATTTAATAAGCAGAATATCTTCCAGAGGACTTTTTTTGAAATGATGACATATTTTATTGACTTTCAAGAGATCTACTATCAAGAGGACTTTCAACAGTATTGAAAATAAATAACTGCTTCCTTCAATAGTTTTCTACAGGTCTTCAGCAGATTTTCTATAGACACAATATAAAGAAACACTAGACCGAATACCTTCAGCAGTACTTCTTCCTTGGATGCTGACGATTTTATTCGTTATACGAAAAAGTGGCTGAGTATTTTTGTCTATGGGAAAAGTCTTGCTTGAGTGGCTGAGGATTTTTTTTATATAGAAAAGGCTTGAGCGGAGCGTATGGTATCCTCTTTGCTGTGAAGTGCCTCAAAATCTTTCTAGTTTTGCCAAAAAAAATAAATAAATTAAGGAACCAAGAAATAGCAAATAGAAATATTTTGCATGTTCCGAGGGACAATATTCCAAAAATTGTACGAAGAGATCTCTAGCTCTTTTTAAATTTTTATGATTTTTGGGTTCAATTTCTTAAATTTATTATGCGATCATTGACAGCTTTGCAGGTTTTAAAAATACCCAATGATTTCTCCAAATCGGCATACAAAGACCAAACGTTTATTTTTTATATTTGACGGAAGAAGCCACTACCTACATAGTTCTTTTTTATTATGCACTCCAAGTTGTCCTCCAAACGATTAACCTTTTCTTACTTTTAAAATCACACCCTCTGAACTCCCCTTAATAAACACAACGGTTTGAAAGTCATTGCTAAAACAGCTGTTTCGTTTCTTTTGACAATTCGAAACGTTTTCACTTGGCATTGTTGTTGTTGTTCATGGCGTCTTGAAGGAAAATTTTGTGGAATTGTTTAATAAAAAATATTAAATATTTACTACAAATTAATTAAATAATACAAATCTCTTGATAATGACAATAACAGGAGTACCGGCTCTCTCAATGGAAATTGATTTTGTGAGTATGAAGCAAGCCTGTGCAAACAGTGGCTACCAAATCTTTGATTCCTTAACTCATGTGCTTTTTTTCTTTTTTTCGCATTTCTTCTAGCCTGATGAAGATGTACCCTACGAGGAGGAGATTCTTCGCAATGCCTATTCCGTAAAGCATTGGTTGCGCTATATCGATCATAAAGCCAGGGCTCCCAACAATGCCGTGAACATTGTGTATGAACGCGCGCTGAAGGAGCTTCCCGGAAGTTATAAAATTTGGTACAACTACTTGAGGACCCGCAGGAAGCAGGTGCGTGGAAAATGCATCACCGACCCCATGTACGAAGAGGTGAATAATACCTTTGAACGTGCTTTGGTCTTTATGCATAAAATGCCACGCATTTGGATGGATTACGGGACATTTATGACACTGCAATGTAAAATCACCCGAACCCGGCATGTTTTCGATAGAGCTTTAAGGGCATTGCCGGTGACACAACATCATCGTATATGGCCATTGTATTTGAAATTTGTTAAGAAATTTGATATCCCTGAAACTGGAGTGAGAGTCTTTAGACGTTATTTGAAATTGGCACCCGATGATGCTGAGGAATATATTGAATATTTGTTGAGTGTTAATCGTCTAGATGATGCTGCTCAACAGCTGGCCAGTATTGTGGATAATGAACATTTCGCTTCGAAACATGGTAAATCAAGTCATCAATTGTGGACGGAGTTGTGTGAGCTGATATCGAAGAACCCGGATAAGGTACATTCGCTGAATGTGGATGCCATTATAAGAGGTGGATTGAGGAGGTAAGTTTTGGGGGAAAAACATTTTTATTTAATCAAATTTAAGGGCCGGTCGAGGATAGTTTTGAATTAATGAATTTTCTCTTCCTATAGGTACACCGATCAATTGGGACATCTATGGAACTGCTTGGCCGACTATTATGTTCGTTCCGGCTTGTTTGATCGTGCCCGCGACATATACGAAGAAGCCATACAAACGGTGCGCACGGTGCGTGACTTCACCCAGGTCTTTGATGAATATGCCCAATTCGAAGAATTGTCTCTCAATAAACGTATGGAAATGGTGGCCAATGATCCGGATGCCACCGAAGAAGATGATATCGATGTGGAGTTACGTTTAGCTCGCTTCGAACATTTAATGGATCGGCGTTTGCTTTTACTAAATTCCGTTCTGTTACGGCAAAATCCCCATAACGTTCACGAATGGCATAAACGTGTTAAACTCTACGAAGATAAACCTCACGAAATTATCAACACCTACACGGAGGCAGTGCAGACGGTGCAACCCAAGTTGGCTGTGGGAAAGCTGCATACCCTATGGGTGGAATTTGCCAAATTCTATGAATCCAATGGTCAAGTAGATGATGCCCGGGTGGTGTTCGAACGGGCCACAGAAGTGGAATATGTGAAGGTGGATGATTTGGCCAGTGTTTGGTGTGAATGGGCGGAAATGGAAATACGTCAAGAAAACTTTGAGGAAGCATTGAAGCTAATGCAAAGGGCCACCGTGATGCCTAAACGTAAAGTGGCCTATCATGATGATACGGAGACGGTACAAATGCGTCTTTATAAATCGTTGAAAGTTTGGTCTATGTATGCCGATTTGGAGGAGTCCTTTGGCACATTTAAAACCTGCAAGGCGGTCTATGATCGCATAATCGATTTAAAGATATGCACACCACAAATAATCATTAATTATGGTTTGTTCTTGGAGGAACATAACTATTTCGAAGAAGCCTTCCGGGCCTATGAAAAAGGCATTGCCCTCTTCAAATGGCCCAATGTCTATGATATTTGGAATGCTTATTTGACCAAGTTCCTCAAACGTTATGGTGGTTCAAAATTGGAAAGAGCTAGAGATCTCTTCGAACAATGTTTGGAAAATTGTCCTCCGGAGCATGCGAAATATTTCTATTTACTCTATGCCAAATTGGAGGAGGATCATGGTTTGGCTAGACATGCCATGGCTGTCTACGATAGGGCGACAAGTGCTGTTAAACCGGAGGAGATGTATGATATGTATAACATCTTCGTGAAGAAGGCTGCGGAGATTTATGGTCTTCCTAGAACTCGGGAAATTTATGAAAAAGCCATCGAAACGCTGCCCGAGGAAAATATGCGTCAAATGTGTGTACGCTTTGCTGAAATGGAAACAAAACTGGGTGAAATTGATAGAGCCAGGGCGATTTATGCTCATTGTTCTCAGGTAAGAGGAAATATTACTCCTATCTTTTTCCGTTTCTTAATTGATTTTTCCATTTCTTTTTTAGGTTTGTGATCCCCGAATTACAGCCGAATTTTGGCAAACCTGGAAAGAGTTTGAGGTACGTCACGGCAATGAGGATACCATGCGTGAAATGTTGCGTATTAAGCGCTCTGTCCAGGCCACTTACAATACGCAAGTTAATATGATGGCTGCCCAGTTTATGACCAATAACACTCCTGCCGATGCAGCCGGTACCGATGCAATGCGTCAATTGGAAGTTAAAGCCACTGAGGCAGCAGCTAATCAACAACAGCACAATAAACCCACAGGAGCAGCAACAATGCAACCACCAAAACCACCCGGTGCTAGTAATATTATGTTTGTACGCGGTGAAACACAGGGTGGCACGGCCCGAGATAAAGTTATTAATCCCGATGAAATTGATATTGGTGATAGTGAGGATGAAGATGAGGACGATGAGGAGGAAGATGCCGGTGGAGATACCAACGGAGATGACAACTCCAAGGCAACACGCAAAGATGATAATGATAATGTTATGAAAAAATTACGCATAGAACAAAAATCAATACCGGCCAAGGTTTTCGGGGGTCTTAAGACAAAAGCAAATAATGATGATGAGGAGGATGAAGATTAGATTTTAAGGAAAATAAAGAAAGCAAAGCAAATAACAAATAAAAGGGGAACATAAAAAGTAAAGAAATCTGAGACAAGGTAATTTATAAAATTTTATTTTTTTTTTAATTTTGTAATCAAATACATTTATATATTTTTGTAGTCATACTAAGTATAGAACTCGGTCAGCCTTATTTCAAAGAATAATTTCTGTGGTGGCCTTCGATAGTAACAGAATTCGCTTTCAAAAATATTCGCAGTGGGAAAATTTGTTAAAAAGACATCTGTTGAGGTTTTAGAACATGGATTTGGGTCTTATATTCGCCGTGACCGAAAGCGCCATCTATGTTACAGCACACATACACACATCGTATCAGCGAACCAATTTAGTTCACATATTTCACGATAGGGGTGATCAAGGGGGAACAAAAACAGATGGCAGTTTTATGAAAGACAAAAAATTCTCAACAACAATTGAGGATGACTTTTTCCCATAGGAAAACATTTCTCAGTCTTTGAGAATGCCTTTTTCCTATATGAAAAAATTCACATTCATTGAAAACAACTTTTTCCTATAGGAAAAATTCCCTCAGACACTGAGGATGACTTTTTTCTATAGGAAAAAAACCTAAGTCACTGAAGATGACTTTTTCCTATTGGGACTGAGGACAACTTTTTCCTATTGGAAAAAAATTCTCAGCCACTGAGGACAACTTTTTCCTATTGGAAAAAATGCCTCAGTCACTGAGGATGACTTTTTCCAATAAGAAAAAATCTTCAGTAACTGAGCATGACTTTTTTCCAATAGGAAAGAATCCCTCGGTCACTGAGGTTGACTTTTTCTTATAGGAAAAAAATCCTCAGTGATTAAGGAAGACTTTTCCTATAGGAAAAAATTCCTCAGTCACTAAGTATGACTTTTTCTACAGGAAAAAAATTCTTCAGTCCCTAAGAATGAATTTTTCCTATAGCAAAAAAATCCTCAGTCACTGAGGATGACTTTTTTCTATAGGAAAAAATCCTCAGTCACTGAGGATGATCTTTTCCTATAGGAAAAAAATTCCTCAGTCGCAGAGGATGTCTTTTTCCAATAGGAAAAAGTCCTCAGTCACTGAGGATGACTTTTTCCTATTGGAAAAAATTCCTCAGTCACTGAGGATGACTTTTTCCTATAGTAAATAATTTCTCAGTCACTGAGGATGACTTTTTCCTGTGGGACTTGACTTTTTCCTATAGAAAAATATTCCTCAGTAACTGAAGATGACTTTTTCTATAGGAAAAAATCCTTAGTCACTGAGGATGACTTTTTCCAATAGGAAAAAATTCTCAGTCACTGATAATGAATTTTTCCTATTGGAGAAAATGCCTTAGTCACTGAGGATGATTTTTTTCTATGGGAAAAAAATCCTCAGTCACTGAGGATGACTTTTTCCTATTGGAAAAAATTCCACAGACACTGAGGATGACGATTTCCTATAGGAAAAAAATCCCAGACACTGAGAAATACTTTTTCCTATTGGAAAAAATTCCTCAGTAGCTGAGAATGCCTTTTTCATATTGGAGAAAATTCCTCAGTCACTTTTTCCTATCAGAAAAAATTCCTCAGTCACTGAGGATAACTTTTTCCTATAGAAAAACATTTCCCAGTCACTGAGGATGACTTTTTCTTATTGGAAAAAATTACTCAGTCACTGGGGATGACTTTTTCTTATAGAAAAAATTCTTAATCACTGAGAATGTATTTTCCCTATAGGAAAAAAATCTTCCTCAATGTCTGTAGAAAATTTCTTATTGGAAAAGTCTTCTGTCTAGGCTTCAGTTCTCTTTAACCATTTAATCCCATGCCTCCTTGCCACAAACAGCAATGTTTACACTTGGTATTGTTGCTTTTGGAATTTAAACTCTTTCGTTTTGGATGCTGCTTGTTCTTCCCCGTCATCTTCGGATTCATTTGTTAACTCGGCCAGAACTTTTATCTTTCATTATAAAGACTTGTAAAGCAACAATGTATTACAATGTTAACATGTCCCTATCATCAGCAGCCACTATGAGGGAGCAGCAGCTGCAGTCGTAACACCACACTAACAAACAAAAGACGTGGCAGGCTGCCTCATCAAATGAAGTTGGCAAAAGGAACAACAACAATGTTTTCCGTGTTCCATATATTTTGGTTACCAGAAGTTGGGAATCCCCCATTGCTGCAGGACTGTATTTGTAATAGTAATTGTTGTCGAATAATTTGCGGCTTGTGTCTTGTACAGAGATCCTAAAAATCGAAGGAGTAGCTAAAATGCTAACCATCAGCTGATGTACATTCCAGCCAAGTGCTTTACATCAACAACAATAACATCCTTTTCATCATCAGTGAACGGGCGAATAGGACTCTTGTTGCATTGCACCAACGAACGCAAGTTAACTGTGGCCAACGAACACACACACACACACATGAACACTCACACATATACATTCTTTAAAATACATATCTTGTCACACATTATCACATAAGCATTGAAAAAGCCAGAAAAATGTCCTTGTTGTCGCTCGGTAAACGAAAAAGTGGTCCTCCTGTGTGTGTGTGAGTAAGCTCGGCCTTTTAATATGCATGTCAACCGCCATGTTCTTTGGCTGAGATTTAGGTTAATTTGTGAGACATGTGAACCAATGCATAAACAACAGCCAGACAAAAGGATTCATCCTTTCTCCAGCAAACGAAGGAAAAACGGACAAAAACTATGACACAACACAAAATAGGAACAACAAATCTTTGTTGAAAAAAAAAAAACAGAACACAACTGGTAAGGAAAACAGGAAACAGTGTTAACATAGATCGAGCTACAAGACAGCCAATAGTAGAAGGATTATGGAACGAGACATGCATGCAAACATAAACAGGAATAAACAAACTGGCTTGCAATGAAGGTTGATTGATGTCCTGAATTTTTTTTCGGATAGTTGGGAGGTCATTTTCTTAAAGAAAAATATGTCACAAAGTTGAAATTTTCTTCAGGAAAAAAAATCCGTTGGTCCTTAGGAAAACTTTTTCCTATAGGAAGAAATTCCTCAGGCCCTGAGAAAAACATTTTTTTCTATAGGAAACGACTTTTTTATAGGAAAATCTCCTCAGTGGCCGAGAAAGACTTTTTCTTATAGGAAAAAAATCCTCAGTGACTGAGGAAGACTTTTTCCTATAGGAAAAAATTACTCAGCAAATAAGGAAGACTTTTTCCTATAGGAAAAAATTACTAAGCGACTGAGGAAGACTTTTTCCTATAGGAAAAAATTGCTCAGTGACTGAGGAAGACTTTTTCCAATAGGAAACAATTCCTCAGTGACTGAGGAAGACTTTTTCCAATAGGAAAAAATTCCTCAGTGACTGAGGAAGACTTTTCCCAATAGGAAAAAAATCCTCAGTGACTGAGGAAGACTTTTTCCAATAAAAAAAAAATTCTCAGTGACTGAGAAAGACTTTTTCCTATGGAAAAAAAATTCTCAGTGACTGAGGAAGACTTTTTCCAATATGAAAAAAATCCTGAGTGACTGAGAAAGACTTTTTCCTATAAAAAAAAAAAAAATTCTCAGTGACTAAGAAAGACTTTTTCCCATTGGAAAAAAATTCTCAGTGACTGAGGAAGACTTTTTCCAATATGAAAAAAATCCTGAGTGACTGAGAAAGACTTTTTCCTATAGGAAAAAAATTACTCAGCAAATAAGGAATACCTTTTCCTATAGGAAAAAATTACTAAGCGACTGAGGAAGACTTTTTCCAATAGGAAAAAATTGCTCAGTGACTGAGGAAGACTTTTTCCTATAGGAAAAAATCCTAAGTGACAGAAGATCCTATAGGAAAAAATCCTCAGGAAAAAATTCCTCAGTGACTGAGGAAGACTTTTTCCAATAGGAAAAAATTCCTCAGTGACTGAGGAAGACTTTTTCCAATAGGAGAAAAATCCTCAGTGACTGATGAGTAATTTTACCGGTAGGAAATTCTTCCTGTTACTGATATGGACTTTTTGCTGACTTTTTCTTATAGGAAAAAAATCCTCAGTGAGTGAGGAAGACTTTTCCTTATTGGATAAAATTACTCAGTGCCTGAGGAGGACTTTTTCCTTTAGGAAAAAAATCCTCAATGTCTGAGGAAGACTTCTTCCTATTGGATAGATTTTTCCTATAGGATAGAAATACCTCAGCCATTCCTATAAGAAAAAAAAATGATTAAGGAAAACAATTCTCAGCCGCTGTGAAAGACTTTTACCTATAGGAAAAAGTATTTCTTTTAAGAAAAAAATTTTAAGTCTCTAGAGAATAATTATTCTCAAAATTCCTCAACCTGTGAAGAAGAATTATTCTTATTGGAAAATTTCTCAAAAAAAAAAAGAAAGAAAGAACAAGTTTTTTTACAGGAAAAATATCCTCAGCCAGTGAGGAACAATTTTTCCTATTGGAAACAGAGAAATACCTTTCCTATTGGAAACAATTGCTCAGCTGCTGAGTTACTTATTCCTATTGGAAAACATTTTTCAGGCAATGAGGAAAAATTTTTTCCTATTGGAGAAAAATTCGCAGCCATTGGGGAAGACTTTTTCCTATTGGAAAAAAATACTAAACCAAATTGGTAAATTTTTTCCTATTGGAAAAATTCCTCAGTCACTGAGAAAGACTTTTTCCTGTATGAAAAAATTACGTAGCCGCTGAGGAAGCGTTTTTCTTATTGGAAAAATACCTTAGTCCCCCAGAAGACTGTTTCTTATAAGAAAACAATTTCAGTCATTTAGGATTCTTTTTTCTTATAGGAAAAAATTCCTTAGCCACTGAGGAAGACTTTTTCATAATCCGCGACAAAATCCGCATTTTTTCCTATTGGAAAAACATTCTGAGGAAGACTTTTCCTCGTATTTGAAAAATCCTCAGCCACCAGCCACAAAAAACCATAGCTAATAAATCAAGGTAACCTAATCTCTCATATCATATCTCTCAATTTCGAGACATTTTAATAAAGCAATTTAAATCTATTTCAGCTAATGAAGCAAATAAATTGATTTTCAAAATCCCTCCAACACGATTGAGGGAAGTTTCAGCGGCAGGTTAACCACAAAGACGCTGCAAAAAAGCAATTGTTAACAACCAATGATAACGAAATATAACCTAAAGATACATTTTGTGAAACATTTCTATCCCTGGGCTCAGCATCTTCCTGCATTGCCATTTGTTTTCTTATTGGACAATATTTCCATTGCTCTTGAATCCAAGTGAAGTCGTAATTTTTTGTTTGGTATGGCTTAAAATGGAATTTTAACATTTTTGGAGAAGGGAAGGAAGGAGGTGGGGTGGATATGGCATCTAATGCCATCATGATTACCATTAGCTGTAGTGGTAGCGGTGGTAGTTGGAGTAGCAGCAGTTAAAGGACCAACGAAAACTCTAATGATGATGACGACGATGACGGCGTCAATGAAAATGACTTTGGTGATGATGGTTGGGCAGCAGTAGCTTCAATATGAAGTGATGATGAAAACATAGAAAATATTCGGGAAAAAAGCTGTGGCACAGCCACACATAAAATCGGCAGAAGCTGTAGACCACCACCATAGCAATTGAAACTCATTACTCAAAATTTTGTTCAACAACCCTGCAATTTCTTTAACAAAATATTATTCCCAGATTCTCCTCCTTTTCGAAGGTTGGGGCGGGAGGGGATGATAATAAATGGAAATGTTGCCATAATTTGGTTGTCGTTGAAGAAATTCTAGACCAAAGAACGAAAAAACGAACCCGTCAAAGCAAAGTTTCAAGTTCTTTGCAAATGACTTGAGTTGAAATCAGTCAGAAGAAGAAGAGTGTTCCAAAACCCCTTCAAAATATATTGTAGAGTTCTGCCAGAGTTAAAAAAGGCACGAATAGTTGGTTGCTCGTTTTTTTTTTCTATTCGGCAGTGGAGTGAAGGACTTGAAATATTTAGTATAAAAGTTTTTGGTGCTCACCCACACTCACACACAAACACAGTCATACAAACACTAACTAAGCATAATTTAGTCTTCGTTGTTGTTGTTATTACAACAAAAAACCATACTTTATATAAAATGTTAACAAATTATAATAATAATAATAGACAAATGACTTATGATTGCATTTGCAAAGCTAACTGGCTGGGTGGCGGAGTATAGAAGAGTTGTGAGGATCTATAGAAAACTTAGGGGCGTAGTGTATTAAGTGGGAAAAAAATCCTCAGCTATTGAAGAAGACTTGTTCCTATACGAAAAAAATTATCAGCAGCAGAGGAAGACTTTTTCCAATCAGAACAAAATTTTCAGACACTGAGGAAGACTTTTACCTTAGATAACAAATTCCTCAGCCACTGGGGAACACATTTTCTTATAGGAAAAAAATCCTAAGGCTCTGAGGAAGATTTTTCCTGCAGGAAACAAATTCCCAGCCATTGAGGAAGATACTTTCCTAAATGAAAAAAAATTCCCCAGCCACTGAGGAAGATTTTATCCTTCTGGATACAATTCTTCAGCCACAGAGGGAAAAATACCTAAGGCACTGAGGAAGACTTGTCCTATAAGAAAAAATTGCTCACCACTGAGAAACACTTTTTCCAATAGAAAAAATATATATAGCATGACTATATATATAGAAAAAAAAATCCTCAGTCACTTAAGAAGAAAAAGACTTTTTGTCCTATAAGAAAAATACTTTTTGTCCTATAAGAAAAATACTTTTTCTTATAGGAAAAAATTTCTCAGCCTTTGAGTATGACTTTTTCTTATAGGAAAAAAATTTTTCCTATAGGAAAAAATTCCCCAGTTACTGAGGAAGACTTTTTCATATAGAAATTCCTCAGCCACTAAAGAAGACTTTTTCCAATAGGAAAAAAATCCTCAGCCACTGAGGATGACTTTTTCCTGTAGGAAAAAAATTGTCAGCCACTGAAGAGGAATTTTTCTTATTGGAAAAATTACTCCTATAGGAAAAAAATCTTCAGCCACTGAGAAACACTTTTCCTATAAGAAAAAATTCGTCAAAGGAAGAAGAATACCTGCAGCTCTTCCACAGGAAGAAGACTCCTGCAGCTCTTCCATAGGAAGAATAATGTGTACAGATCTTCAACAGGAATAAGACTTCTGCAGCTCTTCCACAGGAAGAGGAATTCCTGCAGCTCTTTCACAGGAAGGAGAATACCTGCAGTCTTTTACAAGAAGATGAATACCTGCAGCTCTTCCACAGGAAGAAGAATATTTGCAGCTCTTACAAAGGAAGAAGAATACCTGCAGATCTTCCATAGGAAGAAGAATAGCTTCCTATGGAAGAGCTGCAGATCTTCCACAGGAAGAAATATACTTGCAGTGCTTCCGCAGGAAGAAGAATTCTTGCAGCTCTTTCACAGAAAGAAAAATACCTGCAGCTCTTCCACAGGAAGAAGAATACCTACACCTCATCCACATGAAAAATAATACCAACAACTCTCCAATAGAAAGAAGACCTCCAGCTTACCTATGGGAAGGAAATTACATGCAGCTCTTCTATAGGAAGAAGACCTCCAGCTCTTCCACAGGAAGAATACCTGCAGCTCGGGAACAGGAAGAAGAATACCCACAGTTCCCCTCTAGGAAGAAGACCTCCAGCTCTCCTATATGAAGCTATAGGAAGAACATCACATGCAGCTCTCCTATAGGAAGATTAATACCTCCATGTATTCCATAGGAAGATGAATACCAGCAGCTGTTCCATAGAAGGAAGAATATGTGCAGCTCTTCAACAGGAATAATAATAAGATTTTTTTTCTATAGAAATAAATCCTCAGCCACTTAGGATGACTTTTTGCTATAGGAAAAAAACCTTGGCCACAGAGGATGATTTTTTCCTATAGGAAAAAATCCCTCAGCCACTAAGGAAGATTTATCACTATAGAAAAAATTCTCCGCCACTGAGGAAGATTTTCTTATAGGAAAAAATTACACAGCAACTGAGGAAGGCCTTTTCCGATAGGAAAAAAATCGTCAGTCAGCAAGGAAAACTTTATTCTATAGGAGAAAAACTATGTTCTTGAGAAAAAATGTTTCTTATTGGAAAACATTTCAACAATTGAAGAAGACTTTCTTCTTATAGGAAAAAATTCCTAGTAAGACTCCTATAGGAAAAATCCTCAGCCAGCGAATTTTTTTTATTGGAAAAAATCCGAGAAAAAATATCTCTGCCGTTGAGAAATAATTTTTCTTTTTGGAAAGTATTTCTCAGGCACTGAGAAGGTCTTTTTCTTATAGGAAAACATTCTTCATACTTCAGAGGAACTTTTCATTTTTTATTGACCTAATAAACTGTACTACCCTCCTATAAGGAATAGTGTTATTTTTTCCCAAAAAACCCTTGTCGTAAACTTACGATGATCAAGTGCTATTTTCTATATTCCGTACGTGCGTGGGTGTGAGTTCGGCTTGGTCGATTCTTCAGTGAAAACTTTGAGACGACAGTCAAGTATAATTTATGAAATTTTATTTGTAACCAAACTAAGGCTCGCGCACACACACACATACATACAAATGCAACATATTTTCTAGAGCTATTTTTTACTAAGACAAAAAATAATATTTTTCCAGCTTTGGCGTCAAAAATAAAGAAGTCAACCATCCACAGTCATCTTGACGGTGTTGGGTGTCATCACTAATTAGTGGCTGGGAATTTGCTATTTTATTCCTCAAGAGTGCCTCGTGAAAAAAACAAACTCTAATGATTGTCAGCGTTTAATGAAGTGCAACGGAAAAACAACTTCAACTTCATGAAGATGCTCGCGAGAGAAAAAAAAAACTATCCTCTGAAGTGGGTAACTGTTGCTGAAGCAAAATTAGAAGAAAAAAGAATATAAATGGAATTTGGAGTCACAAGTGGCTTTTGTCGATGACAAACATTAAATAGGAGAAAATTCATAAGGTTAGCTGGAGCATATTTTTCCTATAAGAAAAAGTCTTCTCCAGTGGCTGAGGACATTTTTTTCCTATAAGAAAATTTATTCTCCCGAGGCTGAGGAATTTTTTTTCCTATGGAACAAGTCTTCCCCAGTGGCTGTGTTGTAAATATTGAATGTCCGCGTTACGGACTTCCAACACACAACATACACGAGCCGAGTAATTGCGATTAGTTCGCTTAGTGTGACCTACACACAGACTGTAAATATTCTTAGTCTTAAGTTTTCTTGTCTAGTGTGTAAGTTGTACATAATCACTCTCAATAAAGCCGCCAGCCAGAGCACAACATGTCTTTCCTTTCATCCACGGAGCAGAGCAAGAATTATACTTTCAACAGGTTATGGGCCCAGTCACCCCAAGCGTAGCAGTCATAGCTAAGACCCAGAATCGCTGTGAGGGAAGAATAAATAGTGTACCCAGGATCACTCTGATGGAGATAGAAATACTAAGTGTATAAGTGTCCGGCAGTAATTTGACGAAGTTTACGTAAAATGGTTATTCGTGTGTCGAATACCAACCCCGGAAAAAGAGTGCATCCAGTAAGCCTAGTGGATTGTGTGAGTCCAATGGTTAGCTGTGTGTCGGCAACCAAGGCAGCTCGTTACAGTGTGTCAGTAACGATGGAGCTTGGACTACACAAGGAAAGAAAGTGGACAGTGACCGATCTGTGTGATCGAAGTGTGCAAAACAAAAAGGGCATTGAGAGTCATTCCAGTTTGTATAACCGAGTGTCGGGTACGTTATGTCGTGTGTCGACAACGTACGCATCTGGAATCATGCATGTGTTGCATTGGAGTTGTCAGAGGACAATTATGGCTGGTAAAATCTGCGAAGGAAATCAGTGCTGGTCCACCAATGTGTTTGGTAGGAGATTTCTATTGAAGAGGCAGATTGGAAAACTCGAGCAAAGAGTGAATGGCAACAACAAAAGCAGGGTGCGATTGCCGAGGCGCACAAGAAGAATTCAGCAACAACAACGCAGGTAGTGATAAAAATAGTTCGCGCACAAGTAGTGGCAGCAGAGGCCCAGACAGCGAAAAAGGTCGAGCAGCGAAATCCCCATGAGCATGCGTACACCGTTAGTGAAGTGATTGACAACAATTCAAACAAGAGCATTGTGTGTTTGCCTTACGGTGTGACGACGAATTTGCGATGCGTAAATTGTTTACGAGAAGTCTCTGGCGGAATGGAAGGGGTAGGCTCAAATATCGTGTTGATTGTGTACCTGCAAGTCAATGTAATGACGGTTGACAATGAAGCGGTAAAGATGTCGTAAAGAAAAATGTGCGCAGATTGACGACGAGCAATTGGAGTTTGCTGACCGCAAGAGGGGAGTTGTATTTGTAATCAGAATGTGTTTCTGCAGAGAACAAAACAACCCGATGTGCCAATACCGTTACGGTCAAAATGATGGGGAGAGCCCACATCGGACGGTGTCAAATGAGTTTCGATGGCAGTGCTGAGTGCACAGTTAGGTCAACTTTTGTCGAACCCGTGGAGGGGGACAAGAAGCAGGAGGAGCTGAACATATTTAAGAAAAATATTTTGTGTATTTGTTTTGTAATGTGTTTACAAATTTTGAATGTAAATAAAGAAATGTTTTGAGAGATGTTGATTAGGGCTTGTATGTATGTGTGTTGAGGAGGAGTGTTGTAAATATTGAATGTCCGCGTTACGGACTTCCAACACACAACATACACGAGCCGAGTAATTGCGATTAGTTCGCTTAGTGTGACCTACACACAGACTGTAAATATTCTTAGTCTTAAGTTTTCTTGTCTAGTGTGTAAGTTGTACATAATCACTCTCAATAAAGCCACCAGCCAGAGCACAAGTGTCTTTCCTTTCATCCACTAGAAGCAGAGCAAAAATAATACTTTCAACAGGCTGAGGATTTCTTTTCCTATAAGAAAAAGTCGTACTCAGTGGATGAAGAATTTTTTTTCTATAGGAAAAAGTCATCCTCATTAGCTGAGGAATTTTTTCCTACAGGAAAAATTTGTCCTCAGTGGGTGAGGAATTTTTTACTATAGAAAAATTTTATCCTCAGTGACAGAGAAAATTTTTCCTACTGGAAAAATCTTCCTCAGTGACTGAGGATTTTTTTCCTATTAGAAAAAGTGTTCCTCAGTAGCTGAGGATTTTTTATATAGGAAAAAGTCTTCCTCAGCGGCTGAAGAATTTTTTCCTATAGGAAAAAGTCATCCTCAATGGCTCAGGATTTGTTTCCTATAGGAAAAACTCTTCCTCAGTGGCTGAGAAATTTTCAATAGGAAAAAGTTTTACTTAAAAGGTGGTGCATTTTTTCTTAATTAGAAAAATTCTTCCTCTGTGACTGAGGAATTCTTTTCAATAGGAAAAGTTCTTCCACAGTTTTGCTATTGGAAAAAGTTTTCTTAAGTCATTGAGGTTTTTTTCTAATAGGAAAAAACCTTCAATGGATGTGAAATGATTTCCTATTGGAGAAAGTCTTCCTCAGTCACTGAGGATTTTTTCCTATAGGAAAAAGTCTTTTTCAGTCACTAAAGAATTTTCTATTACAGGGAAAATCCTTCCTCAGTGATGCGACATTTTTTCCAATAGGAATAAATCTTCTTCTATTATTTTCCTATAGGAAAAGTTTTCCTCAATAGGAAAAAGTTCCAATAGGAAAAAGTCTTCATTAGTGCCGGTGGAAATTTTTCCTAAGAAAAAGTCATTTTCAGTCGCTGAGGATTTTTTTCTATAGGAAAACGCTGAGGAGTGGCTGAGGATTTTTTCCCAATTGGAAAAAGTCTTCCTCAAAGGCTGGGGGTTTTTCCAATGGGAAAGAGTATTCAAGAGTGAATGAGATTATTTTAACTTAAGGAAAAATCTTCCTTTGCGGAATTTGTTCCTATTGGAAAAATATCTTTCTCAGTTACTGAGGAATTTTTTCAGATTTTTTCCTATTGGAAAAGTCTTTCTCATTGAATGATTTTTTTTTCTTATAGGATAAATCTTACTAATTAGGCTTAAAGTTTCCATAATCTTTAATTGATTTTATTTCCTTCTCATTTCCCAAATCCAATTCCATTATTCTCCCCCTCGAACTGTTCGCCTTATGATTACTGGTCCCCAGATTATTGGCTACTTAAATAACTCGCATTTAAAATTCTCCATTTTTGTCCATTCTTTGGTTTCTTTTTAATTTTTGTTGTTATTCCTAATTATCGTTTATTATCTACCATTTTCATTTAATTGTTTTTTTTCTTTCTTCAAAGTGGGGGTGTCATGATTAATGTATTTTTAACGGTAGCCAAAAATACGAAGGAACTCCACCTTCCCCCTATTTATTTGTATTATTTTTTGTGTTTTGCAAAAGTTCCGTTTAAGTTTTCATCCCGCCAGATTACAAAGGAATTTGGGTTAATGTCTGTTCTTTTTCGATTTTTTTTGGTTTTGAAAATTAGAGTTGTACAACGAAATTGAATGAAATGTCTGCTGAGCCAATGTTTTGGTTACGGTGACCACACAGAACGACACACACACGGTAGAATCCCCTCTTCTTTCTTCGGACTCTTTCATATGGCAAAAGTTTTAGTTTCGAAATTAACGATAATTAGTTTGGTTTTCTTTTCTTTATGACTTGGATTAAATTTAACTTAAAATGTAATCAAAACGGACCGAACCGAGACACACACACACAGAAAGGTCTCCGTTTGGAATTATGACCATGCGACAGGATATATATGGGATTTAAAATAGATTAGATTAATGATACGTGGAGGGTAAATTGACAAAAAATTTAGAATAAATAGAATTTGATATAATTAGTAGTAAAAACTAAGTAATTAGCATGATAGGAATTTAAATAATTTAAAAAAAGTTCCAATAGAAAAAAAAACTTTGAAGCTTTTCCAATAGGAAAAATGCTTCCTTATGTACTGAGGAATTTTTTCCAATAGGAAAAATACTTCCTTGCTGAGGATTTTTTTCCAATAGGAAAAAATTGAGAATTTCTTTCCAATTGGAAAAATACGTTTTTGTGCCTGAAGATTTTTTTCCAATAGGAAAAAGTCTTCTTTAGGGACTGAGGAATTTTTCCTATAGCAAAATGTGTTCCTCTGGTGCTGGGGATTTTTCCCTAAATTCTTTCTCAGGGGCTTCAATAGGAAAAATTCTTGATTAGGTGTTGAGGAATTGTTTCCACTAGGAAAAATTGTTCCTTAGGTGCTGAGGAAGAATTTTCCAATAAGAAAAAATTCTTCCTTATGTACTGAGGATTTTTTTCCAATGGGAAAAATACTTCCTTAGGTGCTTAGGATTTTTTCCAATCAGAAAAATTCTTCCTTATGTACTGAGGAATTTGCTTCCAATAGGAAAAATGTTTCCTTAGGTGCTGAGGAATTTTTTACAAAAGGAAAAATTCCACCTTAGGGCTTGAGAAGTTTTTTCAAATAAGAAAAATACTTTATTTTTGCCTGAAGATTTTTTTCCAATAGGAAAAAGTCTTTTTGAGGGGCTAAGGAATTTTTCCTATAGCAAAATGTGTTCCTCTGGTGCTGGGGATTTTTTCCTAGTAGGAAAAATTCTTTCTCATGGGCTGAAGAGTTTTTTCCAATAGGAAAAATTCATTTTCAGGGGCTGAAGAGTTTTTTTCCAATAGGAAAAATTCTTCATTAGGTGCTGTCCTCAGCAAAAGTCTTCCTTATGTACTGAGGAATTTTTTTTCAATAGAAAAAATTCTTCCTTATGTACTGAGGAATTTTTTCCAATAGGAAAATTTCTTCCTTAGGGCTTGAGAATTTTTTCCAATAGGAAAAATACTTTTTTGTGCCAAAAGAGTTTTTTCCAATAGGAAAAAATCTTATTTAGGGACTGAAGAATATTTCCTATAGGAAAAAGTTTCTTTCTCAGGGACTGAAGAGTTTTTTCCAATAGGAAAAATACTTTCTCAGGGGCTGAAGCGTTAGGAAAAATTTTTCCTTAGGGCTTGAAAAAAGTAGTCCTCTATAGAAAAAAGTAGTCCTCAGGGACCTGAGGAATTTTTTTCTATAGAAAAAAGACACCTCAGGGACCAGAGGAATTTTTTTCTATAGAAAAAAGACACCTCAGGGCCTGAGGAATTTTTTTCTATAGAAAAGACACCTCAGGGACCTGAGGAATTTTTTTCTATAGAAAAAAGTAGTCCTCAGGGACCTGAGGAATTTTTTTCTATAGAAAAAAGTAGTCCTCAGGGACGTGAGGATTTTTTTCTATAGAAAAAAGTAGTCCTCAGGGACCTGAGGATTTTTTTCTATAGAAAAAAGTAGTCCTCAGGGACCTGAGGACTACTTTTTTGTTGAAAGTATAAATCTTGCTCTGCTCCGTGGATGAAAGGAAAGACATGTGCTCTGGCTGGCGGCTTTATTGAGAGTGATTATGTACAACTTACACACTAGACAAGAAAACTTAAGACTAAGAATATTTACAGTCTGTGTGTAGGTCACACTAAGCGAACTAATCGCAATTACTCGGCTCGTGTATGTTGTGTGTTGGAAGTCCGTAACGCGGACATTCAATATTTACAACACTCCTCCTCAACACACATACATACAAGCCCTAATCAACATCTCTCAAAACATTTCTTTATTTACATTCAAAATTTGTAAACACATTACAAAACAAATACACAAAATATTTTTCTTAAATATGTTCAGCTCCTCCTGCTTCTTGTCCCCCTCCACGGGTTCGACAAAAGTTGACCTAACTGTGCACTCAGCACTGCCATCGAA